GGCGTCGCCCCCAGCAGCGCTACTACGAGGGATCATCAGCTTCTTCTCGACAAAACCGCTGGCGCGGTGGTATGCGTTCAATGCGGGACGCGGTCGTTGGGGCCGGCTTCCAGCAAACGACCCACAGTAATACACATGTAGGACGCAATTCCACTGGAATTTACGCTACGACTCGCCTTCCTCCGTGCGAAGCTTGACGCCCCCCACAACACGCCTGTTGTGTTCCCCATCTCCTGGTCGACGCGTCACCTCCCCGCCTCCGGGAAACTAGGTGGTGCGGCCAATGGAGGTGAGGTCGCCAAACATTTGTCACTAAATCCGCCTATGCCTCCACCCGTTTTTATGATGCAAAATAGGGTCCCTGTGCTTATTGATAGACTTCCTACGATGGCTTTGATAGATACTGGAGCAGCTATTTCAGTGATGAGTCTTAACTTCAGATTGCGGCTATGACATAAAGTGATGTTTCGCTGCGACAGTTGTGCATCATATCGTGCAGTGAGCGGGGAGACACTGTGTCCGATCGGTGTGTGTGTTGTTAGTGTCACTTTGGGTGACAAGGTCTTCGAGGCTGAATTCGCTGTCCTGACCAGCTCCACCCATGACATCATCTTGGGGATCGATTTTCTACGCGAGTGCGGGGCTACTGTAGATTGCGGTGCTGGCGAGATTATGCTATCGGCATTTACTGACGATCCTAGGTGCTGTCAAGGATCTATCACAGTCATTGAGGATGTCTTGCCGCCCAACTCGATGAAGACCGTACGCGTTGACGCCTCTGCCTCGGACGCCGGAAAGTTTGATGGTCTTGTGGAGCCCATTCCTCTCAATTGCGCCAAGAAAAATGTGCTCGTTCCACATTGTGTTCTGTCGATCAGTGATTGGCGATCGGCCTTATGGGTGTCGAACTATTCAAATGAACTTGTTATGCTACCCTGCGGAATGCGACTCGCCCTCTTCGAACAAAATGCGACCAGTTTTATTGCATCTTTAAGCGACGAGAGAGTAGATCTTATTCGTGCAACGTACCATACAGAAGCCAACTTTCCGAGTATGGTAAACAAGTCGCTATCATCAGAAAAACGTCAAGCTTTGGTCGAAGTCCTTGCGAAGCACGCTACTATATTTGACTTTGCGCAGAAAGAAGAGCAAATGAGTGTACCCGAGTCGCGTACTCGCCATGGGATTGACACAGGATCCGCTCACCCTATCCGGCAGAAACCATACCGTGTCTCATCTGCGGAGCGCAAGGTCATTACTCAACAGGTAGAAGAGATGTTAAAGAAAAGGGTCATCCAAGAGTCGTGTAGCCCTTGGGCTGCCCCTGTGATTCTTGTCCGAAAGAAGGATGGTACATGGTGATTCTGCGTGGATTACAGACGGCTTAACTCTGTTACTAAAAAGGATGTCTACCCGCTTCCCAGGATTGATGTCATCGATTGTTTACATTCGGCATCGTACTTCTCCGTGGATTTGAGATCTGGTTATTGGCAAATTCCCATGCACCCGAATGACAGAGAAAACGGCCTTCATAACCCCAGATGGTCTATTTGAATTCAATGTAATGCCGTGTGGCCTATGCTACGCTCCAGCCACGTTTGAGCGCTTCATGGACTCTGTGTTACGTGGACTAAAGTGGGAAGTTTGTCTTTGCTACCTGGATGACATTATAATCTTTAGTCGTACATTCGATGAACACAACCATCGTCTAGACATTGTTCTCACCTGCCTTGAGAGAGCTAAGCTCACCCTGAACTCTAAGAAGTGTCACTTTGGCAGCCGTGAGACTCTTGTTCTCGGTCACCTGGTGGACTAGCATGGCGTTTGACCGGACCCCCAGAAAGTCGCTGCATTCAGCAGCTTCAAACAACCTCAGTTGGTACGAGAGTTGCGAAGCTTTTTGGGCCTATGCTCGTATTTCCGTCTCTTCGTGCCCAGGTTCGCCGACCTCGCTTACCCTTTGACGTCCCTACTCAACAAGAACGCATCTTTTCGGTGGTCAGCGGAATGAGAGTCATCTTTTTCGCAACTCAATTTTTTTCTTACGTCAGCGCCCGTACTTCGCCACTATGACCCATCTGCTGCCACAAAAGTTCATACCGACGCCAGTGGTGTAGGTATTGGCGCCGTCTTGGTCCAACGCCAACACGTCGTTGCTTATGCCAGTCGCTGTTTAAGTAAACCGGAGCGAAACTATACTGTCACAGAGCAGGAATGTCTCGCGGTCATATTCGCCGTGCACTAGTTTCGCCCTTATATCTATGGACGCCGATTCTCGATTGTCACGGACCACCATTCTTTATGTTGGCTCACTGGACTACGGGACCCATCTGGTCGTCTTGCTCGTTGGGCGTTACGATTGCAAGAACACTACTTTGAAGTCTGTTACAAGAGCGGTCGTCGTCATGCCAACGCCGATTGTTTTTCACGACTTCCCCTACCGACAACGGAGTGTGACGCTGACAACTGATGAATATTTGGCTGTAGTGGATACTCCATTTCCTGACCTAACAACTTTTCGAGCAGAGCAACGCAATGACAACAGTCTCGCTTCTTTCTTTATTTCCGGAACGAACGGTCAACGTGGTTTCGTCGTAAAGGGGTCAACGTGGTTTCGTCGTAAAGGATGGCGTTCTTTACAAAAAGAATTATTCCGGCGTAGGCCCTCGCCTACTTCTAGTTGTGCCTACAAGTCTACCACAACATGTACCTCGAGCAATGCACGACGACCCAACATCTGGCTATATGGGTTTTTCTACGACATTTTATGGCACGCAAGAACGCTTCTTCTGGCCGAAGATGCGTAAAAGTGACTGCATACGTTGCGAGCTGTGAGCAATGTCAACCCCACAAGCGTCCTACAACTCCGCCAGCTGGACTACTTCATCCCATAGCACCCCCGAGTTCACCATTTGACGTCGTAGGTGTCGACCTGCTCGGCCCTTTTCCGCGATCAACAAACGGCAACCGATGGATTATTGTGGGCGTTGGCCACCTCACACGTTATGCCGAAACTGCGGCAATTCCTGCAGCAACGGCCACTCAAGTTTCATAGTTCATGCTGGCACACGTTATATTACGCCATGGATCCCCCGTGTCATCATCAGTGATCGCGGGCGGCAATTTGTTGCCGATGTAGTTGAAGACCTCCTTCGTCTTGCTTCGTGCCATTTTCGTAACACTACCCGTATCACCCGCAGGCTAATGGTTTGACAGAACGAACTAATAGGACTCTCGTGAACATGATTTCCATGTATGTTGATTCTGGACACAAAACATGGGACGCGATTTTGCCATTTATAACTTTCGCCTACAGCACTGCACAGCACGAAACGAGATACAGTCCATTTTATCTGCTCTACGCACGCCAACCCCGCACAGCTCTTGACACTATCCTTCCCTTTTCCGAGACTGATCGACCTACTCTCGCCGAAACCATTTTCCGCGCAGAAGAGGCCCGGCACATCGCCTGTCTTTGAACTTTCGTCTCACAGAAACGCTCCAAGAACCGTTACGACAGAAGTCACCGGCACGTATCGTTTGAGAAAGGGGATTTGGTGTGGCTTTGGATGCCGCTTCGCAAACGCGGCCTCTGCCAAAAGTTTCTGGCCAACTACACCGGTTCGTTAGTTGTCCTGGAACGTCTCAGCGATGTCACGTACGTGATATCTCAGCTGTTGTCAACTGGCCGCCGCTCAAGCAAGACCGTCGTTCATGTTGCCCGTCTAAAACGCTATCGCAACGAAGCCTAACTCGCCCGGTGGGCATCGTCTGCAAAGGGGGAATTGCTACGATACTGAGGGGGCGCGTGGAAGAAAACGAGGTTGGCACGAGTGGTGATCGGCCAGATCCCTGGACTCTTGCATGCATCATCTCCTGTAAATAAAGGCATCTCACCTTAACAAATATATAAAACACTCTTGGTCAGCTGAAATGCGTGCGCCTGTCAAAATGTGGAAAAGATGGGCTTCACTTCTACACAGCAGCGAAACGCAGGTAGCATGTCACCTGCACCTCGCAGCGTCAGCGTGCCATGATGCAGCCATTTGCCCCTAATTCTGAAAAAATCATATTCCAGAAAGAGGCCAGTGGGACATAATACACAATATGTTTTGGCTAGAAAACTTAAGTAATGCAGGCAAGAGCTTTATTTCCAGGGTTACATGCATTGTGAAATTTGTCAAACCATCCTTCACTGTTTTTTTCCCTGAAAGAATAGGTAAGTCGTGACGCTGAAACAAGCATCCAAATGCCGCCTGCGCGTTATTGCTGTGCTGCAGTGAAGAGATGCTTGTTTTTTTGAAGTTGGGTTGCTTTAGCTGGCACTCATTAGTATTGTTACATTGAATTGCTTTGAGGGCAGTCATTTTCATGGGTTTGTGGCAAAATCTGGATAGGGAATCTGCAAGTGGCACCTGAAGATTTCCAGGCTGTGCTCAAGACCGCTTCAAATTATCCACTCAAATTTACGTTGTACAAAATACGGGACTACAGAAATCCTTTGAATTAAGTGGGAGCTTGAAATAAAAGTTTGAATGAATGAGGTTTTACTGTTAACACTGTAGTCTGATAAGTTCCGTGCTTTTAGAAAAGAAATGGGAGTTTACCATAATAATTAAAAAAAACAACCAAGTTTACTGCATGAAACTGCCTCATTTATTAATGCATATAAAAGATGCTTTCAGCATATCGGCAGGGCTTGAGAAGCTTTTATGCAATTCTAAGTACAGCGTCTTGGCACATGTCCTTGTCTGTAAGTTTCGTTGGTTATTTTTATGACTGGTTCTCAGTTTTTCATTGATGTTGCTTAATCCACTGCAGTAGTGAATGCTTCCTTTTCGTTTTGGCAGCTGCCCCCATTGTCCATCCATTAGCATGCTATGCCGAAGATTCACAAGACATTTTTGGACCCGGCTGCAATGTATCCACTTTGTTAGCGGCATCTGTTTTCATGCTTTGCATGTTGTTCTGATCTATTGCCATTTGGTGGACACTTGCAGGTGGTGAAACTGCACACGAAATTGGGCAAGCCAATTCCCTCAACAGAGCCTGTTGTTATAGCTGCATCGGGTACCACTACTACCACAAAGCCATCGATGACCACCACCACCACCACCACAGCTTCATCACAGGGTGCTGTGGACAGTGCTGCAAAGGCAGCTGCCGACTCTGAAAGTGCTGTGGCTGAGGACGGCACTGTTGACCCTCTCAAGGATGATAAAGGCGCTGAGGTGGGGTCCCACAGCGTAGTCTATAGTCTATTGTAGCTAGCATTTCCCATGGATGCTGATGTGGCAAGGTTGAGCTGTTTCATCAAATATGTCCGCTCGCACTTTCGGTCCTTATCCACGTTTCATGGATATCCACTTTTGTAACATTACGAAATGTTTGACGAAACTGTGCTTTTTTGCATACTGCTTCCTAACCGCACCCTGAGGCTGAAAAGAGACTCTGTAATGGCGATAAGCATGTGAAACATAATTTGACTGTTTTACTCTGCATAAATTCAGGTGGAATTGATAAGCGAATCCCATTCATTATCTGCAGAAGCGCCCAACCCAGGTGCCCCGAGGAGGGGGACCAATCCTTAAGTGCGATTCCTTATTTTTGAGTCATTATAAACCAAACTTTATTGTCTTGACCATCTTTTTATGCAGATTTCAAATCTCTAACTAGTCTTTTTGATAGCTGCACTATTTAAAAAAAACGTAAGAAAAAAATAACTAGTGCGGCCTTCTCTGCAACTTCGGTATACTAAAAAAATTTTCTAGTGCATGACCAAAATGCCGTGGCTGTGCTGCAGGAAGTGGAGCTACTATTTCTATTCATTTGCGAGCACTGTGTAGGTAAGTAAACAGATAGGGTCTTGAAAAAGAGAGATAGCCGCTCTTTCTGAGCACACAAAGATAGTAGACACAGTCAAACCAAACCAAACATCGTGTACATTTATAGTAAACCCTGGTTACAACGAAGTCGCTTGAATAGACTTATCGTTTTTATCAAAGCGTTACGCACTCCCAACCCAAGGGGGTAAGACATTTGCGCATTTTGCGCATTTTTGATACATTTGTTTTTCTGCGCAGAGCTGCTCCAAAGGCATGAGAATTGTGAAAATTGTGCCGAACTGCTCGAAAACGGCCCCAAAAGCTAAAATTTTGAGGCCAACCTCGGCTTCAGTGGAGAAAAAGAGCAGAGTTGACTAATAAGACACACCCAATTGTGCGTTTTTTTTTTCTCACTTTGCACTTTTTGTCTGGTGAAGAAGGCTGCTATGGGGGGCCCTAATCTCCGTTAAACTGTTGCAAATATGCATGACACCGCAAAAATGTGCAGCTGTGCATCGAGTGTGCTGCTTCTACTCGCTAGGCTGTGTGTTCTGGTGCTACTGTCGGCTAGCAAAAACCGCAGAGTCGTGTGGTGAGCGTAGAGGGGCTGGCTTTCAGGTTCTTTGTTGTGCGTAGTGCATTTCTCCGGTCGCTGCAGTTTTCATGTCAACGCTGCTGTGTGCGGTCACCTACGCTTGCGCGTTTGCCGTCAGTGAGGAACTGTAAACGCGAGTCATTTCGCTGCTTGTGACACATCTCCTGGATGCTCTGGCCAGTGCACATGGGTTCTCAAAATAGGTTACGTGAGTGACAGAACGCCTGCAACCCATTTCCGGTTTACGCCCATCAGCTATTCTTTATTTAGACAAGCGAGTTCTCATTGCAGTTTGCCTTTGAAGAAGCAATCGCTTGCGAACTCCGCACATCAGTGTGTGCAGGTAGAGAGAATCACTTGGATACATTCAAAGTCGTGGTGACTGAATGCGCATTCATACCATTTTCAAGGATGTTAATAGGCACTTCGGTGCTTTACTCGTGACTGATTACACGTCGGCAATCACATGGCACAGTTTTCATGACTGGTAATTTGCCACTGCTTCCGAAACTCTCAATGAGTGCTTTAAGGGGGGGGATGCGGCCCTTGAAAATCGAGAAATCGCAAAACGGTCTTTTTTGAAAAACCATATTGTTGGGTTGTACGTCACATAACTTATCTATTCTTTAAATATAGACTCCTAATTGAACCTCAAAGGGCGAAAAATGAAAGAATAAAAGCTATTTTGGAGGTCGCCACAGCGCCCAAAACATGCACGAAAGCCAAAATCAAACCAAACTTTTTGCACGCGCCATTTTGAGGCTATGCGGCCATTCAGTGCTATTTCGGTCTTGTTTTGATTGACCATGAATTTTTTCTCTCTCGTTTGCAGTCTTTCAAAATGGCGTCAATGGCGCGGTTGAAACTCTATCGGCATTTCTCTGGGATGCGATGCAGAGTGCTGATTGGCGAGAGCAGCTGATTCATATCTCGCGGGCGAAAGCGGGCCCGCCATTGGCGGCTGTGCTGGAAGTGGAGGCAGCCCCTCCCACACTGGGCCTATCTGGCGCGTTCGTCTCGTGGTTGCTCTCTGCCCCATTCGTCGAGCTTTTTGCTTTGCGCTGTATTTTCAATCAGTTTCTCATCTTTTTTTTTTCTTTTCGCATAAGTTTTCTGCCCTTTATCTTTGTTGCTGTGCGTGATGCTGGCAAGAAAGCCGGAGACTGTGTGCAAGTTCGGAGTGCGGAAACGCGTTATGTGGCTTCTACGAGACTCTAAATTAGGCTTTTCTGCTGCGAGTGCACAGTGTGTAGATGCTTGCAGCGGGGAAACTCTGCTGTCAGCTGCCACCAGTCCAGAATCCGACACACCGTGGTACCTGGAGCTGCGAATGCATCGAGCGTGTCTGAGATTGCCAAATCCAGCATGTGCTCTGAATCAGTGCAGTCGAGCGTGACACCGAGTGTTGCTGAGATGAGATCGCCAGACCCAGCACTACGTCTGCAGCAGGGCAATTTCATCTGTGGACGCATTTTCTAACTAGGAAAATATCGCTGCGAATGCGAGACGTTGTGGGGTCTCGACGAGGCGAGCTGCCTCGCCATGCTCTTGGAGTGAACAGACATAGCAGACGCGATCGGTACAAACCAACAACATACATATACACTTAACTATTTTTATAACGACGATATCGTTCACTGAATGATACTTCAATCCTGATCAACCCACTAAGACATCCTTACACACTATTTCCATACACTCCAAAACATTACAAACACACAATAACACACCCAAGGCGGCGGCGCCAACGCTTGACTCACCATGTGGGCCACCCCGGCGCGCAGGCCCGCAGTGCCACGCGTTGAGGACCCACGCTAGAGACAACCGTTCGCGGCAACCACCACGCGCAGAAGAGGCTCGCTCAACTTTCACCCGCCAGGGGTCACTGCCGGCGCTACCCCATGATGATGACGACGATAGTGGTGCTCAACGCGAATACGCCACCTATCACCTGGCAGTCGTCACCCGAAATGTGGCTTTGCGGCGAGACACCTGCGCCAAACGGCGCAAACAACTTTACAGGGGGTGTCAGCACCCCCACAACGTCGAGGTGCCATTCGCGCTGAACTAGAATCTACGCCAGCGACGAAGAAAAAAACCTGGACTGATGCAGCCGACTCTTGAGATGCCCTATGTCTGAAAAAAAAAAAAAAAATCTAAACGGTATTTGGATAAGATTGAGGGAAGATACAAAGCAAGAGTGCACAAGGACACTTCAAGCTTCTCTGCTGGAGCTTTTTGAGGAAAACACATATGCTGAACTTTCAGAGCCCGTTTTATCAAAATGGATTTTTTAGCTTGTTGTGGTGCTGAGGAAAGCAATTTCTCAAGAACTGCTTATCAGATTTGTGTGCCATCTTTTTTAACTGTGTTTCTGGACAATTTCGGCAGGGTCTAACAAGCTTCTTTTTTCGAAATTGGTGCCAATATTTATTAATAAACAATTATTTTGATATCATAACTGAATACATCAAATTCATAGTTGCATTATTTTTTGGAGGGGAAATAGAAAAAAAAAACTGCTTTTTAGTGCCCTAGGATATCCATCTAGGGATGACCACATATAATTTCAGCCTTATGGCACATCCTGGGATTTCTTCCGGCTCTTCCATAGGCACAGGAGTGAACCACCCAGTTAGACCTAACTATTGATCTTCTGAACACTATTTCATGAAACCTTGCAGTTTCTCCAGGTTTAATATAGTGAATATATGTGAAAGTTTCATCAAGATATCTTGAAAAATAAAAATAGTGCGGTTTCTGGGGTAGGGGGGACCCTTTGATAATTGAAAAATCGTGATTAATGTCGATTTTTTGAAAACCACATATTCGGGTAGTATGTCACATAAGCTATCTGTTCTGTAAATATTAATGTTTAATTCACTGCAAAAGTATGTCATAAATTATGCAACATGCCACGGCAGCCAGTGAGCGCTAAAAATACCCCTACTTCACGCGTTCGCAATTTCTGAACCACGCGGCCCAGCGCCACCATCTTAGTTTTGTTTTGCTTGTGAATTCTTGCTCTTTTTTTTTGCCACTCGCTGCAGCAGCATTGGCGTGGCCGAGGTGGGCAACGCTCATGATTGGGGGGGCCCTCGAAGTTTTGGAATCTCCTGCAGCTTGGATGCGAGGCCGTGATTGGAGGAAGCGCGCGAATGGGATGACACATCGGTCTGCCGGGCTTGCTGTGTGCTCCGGCACTTTCAAGGCCAACATTCTTTGTGTGTCCCATTTGCTATTTTCCCGCTCGGTTCTCAAACAGGCTTTTCAATTTTTCATTGCCTTGTATGAGATGGGGACGCCAATTGTTGCGCTGTCGGTCACGTTGGGCTAAACAAAGTTCGGGACTATGCATGCGTTCGGGTCAAGAAAGCGCGAGATGAACCTCATACGCATGGCACGCTCGTTCACGTGTCAGCATGTGGCGACAATCGCGTCTAACCATCCGGTGTAGCAGCTCCTCCTTCGTCTCTGCAAGACGACTGTATTGATGCTTTTCGCGATGTCGAGATGGCTAGGTGATAATGCAAGACTTCGTCGTCACCAGTGAGGCTGGTGCTGGTGTTTCGTGCTCAAGTGTGCCTGATGCGTCGCGTTCGCTAACCAATGTGAGAACGGCCCCGAACAGTGCGACACCGTCGTTGACTGTGCATTTGCAGACACAGTTTTGGATGTGCGAGGAGTTAGCCGCAGAAGAGAGCAAACATGCTGCTGTGCAGCAAAACCTCGGTGCTATGCCGGTGACCGAGAGTATGCCCGAACCTGAAGATGCCACCGCTACAACTGAAAGCGAAAAGTATTTCCACAT